AAAGCAAAATCGCAAAATTTACCTATTCGGCACATTTAATTATATATATATATATATATATATATATATATATATATATATATATATATATATATATATATATATATATATATATATATATATATATATATTATATATCACAAAATTAACGGCTTAAATGATTTGTGAGTACAATTATACTGGGGTTCGTGTGACTAATCCAATACAATATTAGCTATATATCTTAGTTTACCTAGATGATTATCAGTGACAAGGCTTTGCAATGGTGGTGCCTTGGGAATGGTGTTTCTATCAATGTGGCACTTGTGGCGAATGGTGGGTGGTGGTTGATGAGGGGGGGGGTTAGTGGTGGTTAGGGTAGTTATGGATGGGTGGTGTGGTTAGGGTTAGTTAGATGGGTGGGTGGTTAGGGTAGTTATGATGGGTGGTGGTTAGGGTAGTTATGATGGGTGGGTGGTTAGGGTAGTTATGATGGGTGGGTGGTTAGGGTAGTTATGATGGGTGGGTGGTTAGGGTAGTTATGATGGGTGGGTGGTTAGGGTAGTTATGATGGGTGGGTTGTTGGGGAAGGGGAGGGTTGGTAGTAGTCCTCTCAGCTGGCTCCTAAAGGGACACACCTCCCTTGCAGGATCAATCACACAACACTTCAACCATCCCAGAAACACACACGCAACACTGTCCACTGAAACACACGCACACAACACTACCATCCACCCTAAGTAACCATACAAACACACAAAGGGTTCTTATCCATGCCTTCACGTTTCTCCATACAAACTTCCTGCTTTTCACTGCTACCAACAAAGGCAACACCTGCAGTATGACACATTCCTCATGTGTTGCAGTCACTGGTTTGCCTCACACAGTATGGCGAATGTGTGCTGGGCTGGCGGGGTCATCCTTAGAGCAAACAAAGAGTTAAACCTGGATGCCAACACCACTGTGTTGGGGGTGGGAGGTCAGGTCGGCGGCACACCTTCACTCACTCCCCTCCATAACACTACTGCTGCCGGGGCTGGCACACTGCCTCTCTCTCTCTCTCTCTCTCTCTCTCTCCTCTCTCTCTCTCTCTCTCTAAAACCTCCCTTCCCACCCATCCTGGCTACTGCCCGCCCATCCTGGCTACTACCCGCACATATGGGCTACACTGCCCGCTCATCACATTTAATTTCCACCTATATCTCCCGCCCATTTTTTTTTTTAACAAAAATAAAGTCTTTGACTCCCCGAGAGACGGTAAGTGCTAGGTAATAGTGACTACAGTGCTCCTGGATGACAATCTCCGTATATGCCGAACCTTGAGACTACCAGACAATCTTCCCAGCGCCCCATCCCCAATTTTCCACCCCAGGCTGACAGTAAATAGTAGGTTCGCTGGTATTGTCCCGGCCAAGTATTTTCCAGATGGTGACCCGGCGATGAGGCTGACACGTTTCATCACCTCGTGTACGAAATCCATCCCATGTGATTAAAAATGACCTGGAAACATAACTAGCTCTTGTTCCCACCGTGTTACTGTCAGAGTAAGACAGCAGCAGTACACTGCTGGTGTTACCAACCGTGTAATTAGTGTAGGGTAGCAGTACACTGCTTGTGTTCCTAGTGTAAGGCAGCAGCACACTGCTGGTGTACACAGTATTTAATAACAAAAGCAACTGCTTCCGTTAAGGCAGGCGCCATGCTGTACCACCCATACCATAATGTCTCCCCAACCTACTTTAATTACCATCCCACGTCACCTCATTATACTTTCTAACTTCTTAATGAACGTGATTCATTCCCACCTACCCCCCCCATACCCGGATCCCCGGGGGCCTCAAGGTCTTGCCCTGACTACCAATGAAAGGTAACATGCATTACGTTACTTCCCTTAACGGTATTTGAGAGTGTAAACATTGGTGGCCAGGCTGTGTGTTTGATACCAAACCCTACTGCAGGGCAACCCCTTCCCCTCCTTCACCAGCCCCCACCCTTCCATAACCAACCTACTCTCTCATTCACCAACCTGGGCAAGAGAAAAGAATAAAAAGAAAGAATAGAAAAATGTGAGAAGAGAATAAATAAAAAAAATATAAGAAAAAAAATAGGAGAGAGAGAGAGAGAGAGTTGGATACCAGCTGGGGTGAATGCTGCCAATCCAAAGTAAACCATCTACTTTATACACAGACTGTTATAGTCATCATAATCATACAAAAGTTGTACACCATTGCGTGGTCATGCAACTCAAGTTGAACACTTGCAGTCGTCATGCTGTCAGTTATGTCTGCCTGCCACCTCCTACTCTCTCCACCACCTTGTTTTATAAATATCATTAGTACTCACTCTCCACATCTGTAATTTCTTCTGCTTAAAAGTGGCTGTTAGGGCAGAGCAATATTCCAGTCTCAAGAGTACCAAGTTCCTTAAAGAGTAATATCATTGGCTTGACACCTTTTCTCCTGAAAGTTCTTATTAGCCAGCCTATCATTTTCCTTGATCTTAGAACAATAAAACCACCGTGATCCTTCACTGTGAAGCCTTGCTCCTTCATTACTCCTCACTTTCCATAATCAAGTGATAAGTGCACCTTTTATATTCTCTTCAGTTTTTGTACTTAAATTTTTCCACTGTGGAGTAGCTGAAATTTGTCTGTGCTGAACAGTTTCTTTGGCCCATTGCAAGAAAGGGCTTATGTCAGTGTAGAGATTTGCCATGTCCTCAGTGTATGTCACACAAAAATTCTGGTATCATCTGCAATGCAGATACCTGAATTTTTGAGTGTGATGATATCATGCTATGATTTGTGTCCAGCAAACTATGAAATTAAAAAGAAAGTAAATCCTTGGATGATTTGAACAGATTGAAAAAGTGGAGTGATAGAATATAAACATCACAAATACCATAGCATGAACAGTTTAAGATTCCTCTCACAAATTCAGGTGTTTGGCAAAACTGAGTCATAAAATGGATAATGAAATCTAATAATGACAGGCCAAACATAAGGAAAATACGATATAATGAAAAAAGATCTCGTATAGATTATGCAATGCAGCATTAAGAGCATCAGACAGAAAAAAATACGGTAGTCATCAAACAAAAAATTATCACCAGCAACTCCTACACTATACTGGCAGACTTCAAAATAGATTTGACATACAGATGGTGAAATGCCAAGAAAACTATTTGCAATAGTATGTGTTGGGCCAGAAATGGAATACTCGTCAACAGTGCAATGTCAAAGCACGAAAATTTATTTAGTACTTTAAACAGATTAAGTTTGCGAACATACTACAAAATGACTCCTGAACCTTAGAAGCACATGTTACAAAGAAAAATTGAAAATAAAAATCACTGGTTAATACAAGGAAAAGAGAAGACATAACCACAAGATCAAAAAATGAGAAATGGTAAACAGAGAAGATTTTTAAACACCATTAACTGGTAGAAGAGCTCTAAATATTACACTGAGAAAAAATCGTGCCAAAAGAATACTAGATAATATTCCTTCAGAAATGAAGTAGGAGACTACTGGAATGGGACTCACAAGCAAGAAATGTCCACTATATCCACTGAAACTTTTGAAAATATATGACAAATTAAACAGTGAAGACAGGACATAATAAGCATGGGTTTGCTCCTGTAATTATAAATATAGGTAATATCTGTAGTTTGTTAATGGTTCCAGGAATCCACCCTCCCACAACCCAATACCAGAATAAACCTATTCAACTGACAAGGAAATACTGCACAACTAAGAAATATTAAGAAAAACATAAAAATAAACATAAGTGCATACTGCATGTATGTAGAAGTTTGCAAGATTTACCTATTATCTTATGTATTCAAGAGACTAAAAGACCAGCAGTCTTGACAGAATGCAAAACCTTTAACAGGCTTCAAATGAATGGACAGACAGACAGAGACAGAGACAGCCACAGACACAAGGGCCAGGAGCTGAGTCTCGACCCCTGCAACCACAATTAGGTGAGTACACACACACACACACACACACACACACACACACACCAGGCCTAGTGTCTAATCGACATGTGCCTAGGACAAAATGGTAACTAACTAACACAGAATAGACTCAGAAAGTGCAACTGTGAGCAGATGATGTGAAGTTGATAAGAATAATTCAATCGGACAAGGACCAGCAGAACTACAAAGGGATCTGGACAAGCTGCAGGCCTGGTCCAGCAACTGGCTCCTAGAGTTCAACCCCACCAAGTGCAAATTCATGAAGATTGGGGAAGGGCAAAGACTGCACACAGAGTACAATCTAGGGGGAGCCAGAGACTACAAACCTTACTCAAGGAAAACGATCTTGGGGCAAGTATAACACCAGGTACATCTCCCGAGGACACATCAACCAAAAAACTGCTGCAACATACAGGTGCCTAACAAACCTAAGAATAGCATTCCAACATCTTAATAAGGAGTCATTCAGGACCCTGTACACTGTGTACCTGAGGCCTATATTGAAGTATGCAGCACCAGTTTGGAACCCACACCTAGCCAAGCACGTAAGAAAACTATAAAAAGTGCAAAGGTTTGCAACAAGACTAGTCCCGGAGCTAAGGGGCATGTCCAACGAGGAGAGGTTAAGGGAAATTGACCTGATGACACTGGAGGACAGGGGATATAGGGGGGATATGATAACGACATATAAAATATTGAGAGGAATTGACAAGGTGGACAGAGACAGGATGTTCCAGAGATGGGACACAGCAACAAGGGGTCACAGTTGGAAGCTGAAGACTCAGATGAATCACAAGGATGTTAGGAAGTACTTCTTCAGTCACAGAGTTGTCAGGAAGTGGAATAGTCTGGAAAGTGATGTAGTGGAGGTAGGACCCATACATAGCTTTAAGAAGAGGTATGATAAAGCTCATGGAGCAGGAAGAGTGACCTAGTAGCGACAAGTGAAGAGGCGGGACCAGGAGCTGTGAATTGACCCCTGCAACCACAACTAGGCGAGTGTACACACATATACAAGAAAAATAGATCTGCCAACTTACCTTACCACCAATGTTACTGGCATGAGATGAAATTTCCTCCAACAGCTTGCCTTCACGGACCTGACGTCAAAACATCAAACATATCAACATCACATTTTCATGCTCTACAGTACAGCATTCAATACTACAAAGCCAATAATGGATTTCTCACCTGCTTGCACAAGAAACAATTGTTCATAATCTATACTACTACCTAATGTATAGGTCCAAGACAACTACAGCAATAGCAAGCCAGGCTCAAAATACGTATATCCTTCCCTCCACTAACCACCACAGTACAGTATCTACCACTGTAGCACAGTACCTAGCTACTGCAGTGCAGTACCTAGCTACTGCAGTGCAGTACCTAGCTACTGCAGCACAGTACCTAGCTACTGCAGCAAAGTACCTACCTACTGCAGTGCAGTACCTAGCTACTGCAGCGCAGTACCTAGCTACTGCAGCGCAGTACCTACCTACTGCAGCGCAGTACCTACCTACTGCAGCGCAGTACCTACCTACTGCAGCGCAGTACCTACCTACTGCAGCGCAGTACCTACCTACTGCAGCGCAGTACCTACCTACTGCAGCGCAGTACCTACCTACTGCAGCGCAGTACCTACCTACTGCAGCGCAGTACCTACCTACTGCAGCGCAGTACCTACCTACTGCAGGGCAGTACCTAGCTACTGCAGCGCAGTACCTAGCTACTGCAGCGCAGTACCTACCTACTGCAGGGCAGTACCTAGCTACTGCAGCGCAGTACCTAGCTACTGCAGCGCAGTACCTAGCTACTGCAGCGCAGTACCTAGCTACTGCAGTGCAGTACCTACCTACTGCAGAGCAGTACCTACTACTGCAGTGCAGTACCTACCTACTGCAGTGCAGTACCTACCTACTGCAGTGCAGTACCTAACTACTGCAGAGCAGTACCTAACTACTGCAGTGCAGTACCTAGCTACTGCAGTGCAGTACCTAGCTACTGCAGCGCAGTACCTAGCTACTGCAGCACAGTACCTAGCTACTGCAGCACAGTACCTAGCTACTGCAGCACAGTACCTAGCTACTGCAGCACAGTACCTAGCTACTGCAGTGCAGTACCTAGCTACTGCAGCGCAGTACCTAGCTACTGCAGCGCAGTACCTAGCTACTGCAGCGCAGTACCTAGCTACTGCAGCACAGTACCTAGCTACTGCAGCGCAGTACCTAACTACTGCAGTGAAGTACCTAACTACTGCAGTGAAGTACCTAACTACTGCAGTGCAGTACCTAACCAATGTAGCACAGTACCTTGTATTTAAACACTCCTAAAATAAGTCAAAATACTTGTGACAAATTAGCTCAAGGGTTGTTTTTTATATTTCTACCAGGGGCCAATTTTGATGGTATCGGCATCAGTGGATATCAGCCAATTCTGGTGTTATCAGTATCAATTCCAGTACATCTGTTAGTATCAGCTAATTTTGATGGTACTGTATCTGCCTAAAATTTAGTATTGACATCAGCAAAAAATCTCCTATAGTTGCATCCTTAATATCTACTACTTATTCTTATATTTAGGGGGAAGTGCTAAACCCAAAAGAGTCAAACAGCAGTTGGGTAATGGAAGGCAATCCAGCTTCATCCAAGGAAGGGGAATTCCATTTCTTGGTATCGAGCCCCTCACCAGCATGAACGACCTTCCCTGAGGGGAGTTATATACTTGATGTGGTAGTTTGGATGTGCAAATCACTTTATCTGAGTAAGTGATTATGGTTGTCTGCACTATTTAGCACTCAAAGCTTAGTAGCTGAACAAGTTAAAAAATCAATATGCCAAAATTAATTTTGCATAGTGGTCCAAACTTCAATGGAAATTTTTAAAAGCATATACTCGTACCAATCTTGCTTACTGTCTGCCTGAGTGGGATCCTAACTGCAGGCTTACTTAGAGAATAGATGACAGTGCTTTATGGCAATCTTATCTACTCCATAACAGCTGTCTACATGATGCTATTAAAACTTAGCAACCTATTTTCAAAAACAAAGGATTGTTTTCACTACATGTTACTGAAGGTGTGGCTAAGCATGCTAGCTGCACGAGAACATGGCAAACCAGAGCTGTGGGCTGACCTACAACTTTACAGGCAATCAAGACTGAATTTAATATATAGAAAAGAACCATAGTTAAAATTATACAAATCTATGAAACTAGTTTATCTTGAACAAAATTATGAGTAAAATAATTATAAAATAAATCACTGGCTAGGAGCACAAAGCAACGGTGTCCGATAAGGGAAAATTAAATTAAAAGAAATATGTTAATTTTTTTTTTTTTTTTTTTAACAAGTCGGCCGTCTCCCACCGAGGCAGGGTGACCCAAAAAAGAAAGAAAATCCCCAAAAAGAAAATACTTTCATCATCATTCAACACTTTCACCACACTCACACATTATCACTGCTTTTGCAGAGGTGCTCAGAATACAACAGTTCAGAAGCATATACGTATAAAGATACACAACATATCCCTCCAAACTGCCAATATCCCAAACCCCTCCTTCAAAGTGCAGGCATTGTACTTCCCATTTCCAGGACTCAAGTCCGACTATATGAAAATAACCGGTTTCCCTGAATCCCTTCACTAAATATTACCCTGCTCACACTCCAACAGATTGTCAGGTTCCAAGTATCATTCGCCTCCATTCACTCCTATCTAACACGCTCATGCACGCTTGCTGGAAGTCCAAGCCCCTAGCCCACAAAACCTCCTTTACCCCCTCTTTCCAACCCTTTCGAGGACGACCCCTACCCCTCCTTCCTTCCCCTATAGATTTATATGCTTTCCATGTCATTCTACTTTGATCCATTCTCTCTAAATGACCATACCACCTCAACAACCCCTCTTCTGCCCTCTGACTAATGCTTTTATTAACTCCACACTTTTCCTAATTTCCACACTCCGAATTTTCTGCATAATATTTACACCACACATTGCCCTTAGACAGGACATCCCACTGCCTCCAACCGTCTCCTCGCTGCTGCATTTACCACCCAAGCTTCATATCCATATAAGAGTGTTGGTACTACTATACTTTCATATATTCCCTTCTTTGCCTCCATAGATAATGTTTTTTGACTCCACATATACCTCAACGCACCACTCACCTTTTTTCCCTCATCAATTCTATGATTAACCTCATCCTTCATAAATCCATCCGCCGACACGTCAACTCCCAAGTATCTGAAAACATTCACTTCTTCCATACTCCTCCTCCCCAATTTGATATCCAATTTTTCTTTACCTAAATCATTTGATACCCTCATCACCTTACTCTTTTCTATGTTCACTTTCAACTTTCTACCTTTACACACATTCTCAAACTCATCCACTAACCTTTGTAATTTTTCTTTAGAATCTCCCATAAGCACAGTATCATCAGCAAAAAGTAACTGTGTCAATTCCCATTTTGAATTTGATTCCTCATAATTTAATCCCACCCCTCTCCCGAACACCCTAGCATTTACTTCTTTTACAACCCCATCTATATTAAACAACCATGGTGACATTACACATCCCTGTCTAAGACCTACTTTTACCGGGAAGTATTCTCCCTCTCTTCTACACACCTTAACCTGAGCCTCACTATCCTCATAAAAACTCTTTACAGCATTTAGTAACTTACCACCTATTCCATATACTTGCATCATCTGCCACATTGTTCCTCTATCCACTATCATATGCCTTTTCTAAATCCATAAATGTAATAAAAACTTCCCTACTTTTATCTAAATACTGTTCACATATATGCTTCAATGTAAACACTTGATCTACACATCCCCTACCCACTCTGAAGCCTCCCTGCTCATTCGCAATCCTACATTCTGTCTTACCTCTAATTCTTTCAATTATAACCCTACCGAATACTTTTCCTGGTATACTCAGTAAACTTATTCCTCTATAATTTTTACAATCTCTCTTGTCCCCTTTCCCTTTATATAAAGGGACTATACATGCTCTCCGCCAATCCCTAGGTACCTTCCCCTCTTTCATACATTTATTAAACAAAAGTACCAACCACTCCAACACTATATCCCCCCCTGCTTTTAACATTTCTGTCATGATCCACATGTTAAATATTTTGTTTAATAATGCAAACATTTTAAACTTACGATTCTGCAAAAATATCTGGGAAGAATTTTTCTCGTAAATTAAATTATTTATTTATTTTTTAGCACACTGGCCGATTCCCACCAAGGCAGGGTGGCCCAAAAAAGAAAAACTTTCACCATCATTCACTCCATCACTGTCTTGCCAGAAGGGTGCTTTACACTACAGTTTTTAAACTAACATTAACACCCCTCCTTCAGAGTGCAGGCACTGTACTTCTCATCTCCAGGACTCAAGTCCAGCCTGCCGGTTTCCCTGAGTCCCTTCATAAATGTTACTTTGCTCACACTCCAACAGCACGTCAAGTATTAAAAATAGTTTGTCTTCATTCACTCCTATCAAACACGCTCATGCATGCTCGCTGGAAGTCCAAGCCCCTCGCACACAAAACCTCCTTTACCCCCTCCCTCCAACCTTTCCTAGGCCGACCCCTACCCCGCCTTCCTTCCACTACACTCTTGAAGTCATTCTGTTTTGCTCCATTCTCTCTACATGTCTGAACCACCTCAACAACCCTTCCTCAGCCCTCTGGACAACAGTATTGGCAATCCCGCACCTCCTCCTAGCTTCCAAACTACGAATTCTCTGCATTATATTCACACCACACATTGCCCTCAGACGTGACATCTATGTATATTTTACAATATACAAAAATTTCTCATTTAAAAGCTACAGTGGTCATAAAAATCATACACTAAATAAAGAATTTTATTGTACTACACATAAGGTTTGATGATATTTTTTCTATAAAAGAACACAATAAAACCCTATTCACTTTTTTCCTATTAATAATTACATAAATTTATTTTGCAGCTGACATGGGTAACCTTAATCATCCACGAAAGAATTACTAATCCGGGAAAGTAATGGGGTCACCTTTCTATCACTGCTAATTCATTTCTCTAATCATTATATTAAAAAGTACTTTATACATTCTGACAAGTAGACAAGTAAGACTACTGTGCAACAGTTTCGTATCTTCACTTCCTATTTTTTCCACATGCTCTGCAGGCTTCTTCAATCAAATGCAGAGGTGACTAAATACTGGAGACAGAAGCAGTGGAGAGGTAAAGATGAGGTGGTCAGTCCTTTAGCCTACAGAAGTGTTCAGCACTATTAGTCTCAATGTGAATCAAGACTATGGAGTGGAACACTTCTCACAGTTAAGAGACTGATTGCCTCATCATTTCCTCTCCACTGCTTCTGCTGTCTTCAATACATATTTAGTCACATCTGTACTTGACTAAAGAAGCCTACAGAGCAGGTAAAACATTAAGACAATTAGATACCCAACTGTTGCACATGTATCTTTTTCATTTATTAATTCATTTCTCTGTCTGGATGACCAAGCAGTCAATACTGAAATCTGGCCTCCAACTGGGATTTGTGAAGAAAATTCTTGAAACCAATCACAGGCATGATTGTAGACACACTGCAGCAGTACTAAATAAGCTACTGCATTTTATCTACCATGACATTCTCTTTACAAATAAAAGTTTTAGGAATCATATATTTCCCAACTTATGCCTTTGTGCTTCCTTTCTTCAGATTCTAATTTCCCACTTGTGTATGCATGCATATTGAGGCAGCTCTTATCTCTTCACACTTGTTTCAGGTGGTAGCTGCTTCACGTAGTTATAACAAAAGCAGGTAAATGAAAGCATTAAGAATGCCAAATATCCTTCAAATATCTAAGATTTACCACCAGTTGAAAATCTTAAGGATATTCTAACTAAGGCGGCATTGCTAGAGGGAATACCCATCAAAGATAAAGTAGACAAAGTATAACATAGTACAGTGGACCCCCGGTTCGTGATATTAATCCGTTCCTGAAAGCTCATCGTAAACCAAAATTATCAGAAAGTGAATCAATTTTCCCCATGAGAAATAATGGAAATCAAATTAATCCGTGCAAGACACCCAAAAGTATGAAAAAAAAACATTTACCACATGAAATATTAAGTTTAATGCAATAGAATAATTACAATAACAACAATAACAAAAGAATAATATGTAACTAAAGAATAATTGACACTTACTTTTAATGAAGATCTGGTGATGATTGATGGGATGGGAGGACAGGAGTGTGTGGATGGTGTTAGCGTTTAGAAGGGAAATCCCCCTCCATTAGGACTTGAGGTAGCAAGTACTTTTCCGGGATTACTTCCCTTCTTCTTTTAATGCTACTAGGACCAGGTTGAGAGTCACTGGACTTGTGTCGCACAACATATCTGTCCATAGAGGCCTGTACCTCTCGTTCCTTTATGACTTTCCTAAAGTGGTACACAACAGTGCCATTGTACAAGTTGCCAACACGGCTTGCAGTGGCTGTCTGAGGGTGATTTTCATCAAAAAAGCTTTGCACCTTAATCTTTGAAGTAGACAACTTCTTCAATTTATCTATCCCCTCCTCCAGAGCAGTTTCCTCAGGTGTGGCCTCTTGCTGTTGAAGATGATCTAGCAGCTCATCAGTGGTTAGTTCGTCATTGTCCTCCTCCATCAACTCTTCCACATCCTCCTCACTAACCTCCAACCCCAAGGACTTCCCCAATGCCACAATGGATTCCTCAACTGGCATAGGCTTCTCAGGGTTAGCCTCAAACCCTTCGAAATCCCTTTTGCCTACACATTCTGGCCACAGTTTTTTCCAGGCAGAGTTCAAGGTCCTCTTAGTCACTCCCTCCCAAGCCTTACCTATAAGGTTTACACAATTGAGGATATTAAAGTGATCCTTCCAAAACTCCTTTAGTCAATAGAGTATCTGTGGTCACTTCAAAGCACCTTTCAAACATAGCTTTTGTGTATAGTTTCTTGAAGTTGGAAATGACCTGCTGGTCCATGGGCTGCAGGAGAGGAGTGGTATTAGGAGGGAAAAACTTGACCTTAATGAAACTCATGTCCCCAAAAAGTCGCTCTGCCAAGTCTGTAGGATGACCAGGGGCATTGTCTAATACCAGGAGGAACTTAAGGTCTAATTTCTTTTCAATTAGGTAATTTTTCACATTGGGGGGCAAATGCATGGTGTAACCAGTCATAGAAAAAGTCCCTAGTGACCCATGCCTTACTGTTTGCCCTCCACAGCACACACAAATTAGCCTTGAGGATATTGTTTTGCCTGAACGCTCTGGGAGTTTCTGAGTGATACACCAATAAAGGCTTCACTTTGCAATCACCACTAGCATTGGCACACATCAGAAGAGTAAGCCTGTCTTTCATAGGCTTATGTCTCTTGGGAGTGCCTTTTCCTCCTGAGTAATGTAGGTCCTGCTTGGCAATTTCTTCCAAAACAGGCCTGTTTCATCACAATTAAACACTTGTTCAGTTTTCAATCCTTCAGCCTCTATGTACTCCTTGAATTCATGCACAGATTTTTCAGCCGCTTTGTGGTCTGAACTGGCAGCCTCACCATGCCTAATCACACTATGTATGCCACTACGATTCTTAAATCTTTCAAACCAACCTTTGCTGGCCTTAAATTCACTCACATCACCACTAGTTGCAGGCAATTTTTTTACCAAATCATCATGCAACTGCCTAGCCTTTTCACAAATGATCGCTTGAGAGATGCTATCTCCTGCTATCTGTTTTTCATTTATCCACACCAATAACAGTCTCTCAACATTTTCTAACACTTGCGGTCACAGTTGCACCTTTTGCAAGAACAGCTTCCTTGACTGCCGTTTTCCTGCTCACTATAGTAGAGATGGTTGATTGGGGTTTACTATACAACCTGACCAGCTCCGACACACGCACTCCATTTTCATACTTTGCAATTATCTCTTTCTTCATTTCAACAGTCATTAGCACCCTTGGTCTCGAAGGGTTGGCACTAGGAGCTTTCTTGGGGCCCATGGTGACTTATTTTGCAGAAACAAGCACCAAAAACAGTGATAATATGGATAATATGGAATGTACCGAATGTATCCTTAGATGCGCACACACTGGCTGGCTTGTAAACACTGGCACACACGGGGCAGTTCAGGCCACACATGGACACGTCTCGTACAAACTGCATCACATACCGGGTTCTGTAAAGGGAACCGAGGCAAATTTTCTGCGATATAATGCATCGGTTACCGGATTTATTGGATACCGATAGCATCGCGAACCGGGGGTCCACTGTACTGTACTCAACTTCCGAAAGAGAGCATTTTAAAAGAATACAGCTACAAAAAAATTCTGCAACTCTGAACTCTTTTATCCCATTGATACCTGAAGAATAATTTAATATCATAAGCACTGTATGTGATGCTTGGTTCTGCATGCTACACAAGTGAACATTCAGTGATAAAAGTGCAGCAACTGTAAATATATATGACTGAGCTTGCTAAGAAATAATAGAATATTAAAGCAAAGAAACTTGAAAGCATGGGAACATTACAAAAGAGGTAACAAAATATACATTGTATATAAAAACTACTGTACTAATTTTTCATACCACTTAACATGCTCCTATGCTATAAATTATATATATTAACATACAGTACCTTCATGGGCCTTTATCCAACAGGAGAAAACATTTAATTTAAAATGACTTATTTTTAAACCACATAATACAATAATTATTTCCCTGGGTTCATGGCGTATAAGAATAAGAGATTAGTAATGAAGGGACATCATGTGTTTACCTATAGCTTGTGTTAATTTTAAAAGAAGGTTTAAGCACCCACTGACAGAAATGTCCAGGTGACAATTTTATGGATACACGGAAGATTAGATATACGTAATTGATGAATGAGAAAGCAAATTACACAGCAATGTAATTTCTATTAAAAATAAAAATTTCAGACAATCTATAAAATAAAATGGTGTTACACTGCAGAAATAACCAACCTCCTCTGTGATGGTGTGGCTAAAAATAGATAAATTAGTGAAATTTTTGCAGAAGTAATTTACCTTCTCTGTGATGGAGTGGCTGTATTCTGTGGCTTTCTCTGTGGCTATGCTGCTGTATTCCACAGCTTTTCCTGCAATTTTAGTGGCACCCAGAGATAGCAGTGACCAACCCTGAAATGTGAACAATGCTAGGGATGATATCCCAAAATCAACTAATAAGATTATAGTTGCCTGATGCACACCTGATGGTTTCTAGCCTTCCATACCAACTTTTACCTGCTTTATTAATGCGAAGACTACTCTTTTGGCAAATTTAAAATATTATACATGTCAGCCATCACTAATCCGGTATCACTGGGACCTGTAATGTGCCAGATTAGAGAGTTTGCTGGATTACAGAGTGGTTAAGTTAGAATACACTTAATTAACCTATCAACATGTTCCTCATTTTCATCACTGCTTTCTCCTCCACCAGCTTGCTGTTGTGGATTTCTGCACAATTTCTGAGTCAGTATAATGATGAAATTTGAAATTATGCTAGCCAAAATTAGTGTCAGATTACTGATGGAACCGGATAACTGATTGCTGGATTAGTGATGACCGACCTGTAATTCATCATACTATCTTTGATAAGTATATTTATTATTCATAATAAACTGAGCCTTTAGTTTACCTTAACTATTTAATGGCATCTAATTTAAGTTACTGTATTAAATACTGCCTTAGGATCTTGTAATAATCATACCTGAAAACAATTTGGCTAGAATTTAACAAAATGCATTCACTTAAATCACTCTCTTGCCAGAAGTGTGCTAACATCATATTTCAAATGACCCTCTTAGCTGCAGCATCCTCACCTTTCCTCTACAGTGCAGGCACTGTACTTCTACCTCCAAGACTTGAGTCTGGCTAACCAGTTTCTCTGAATTCTTTCATAAATATTACCTTGCTCATACTCCAACAGATCATCATCAAGTCATATAAACCTCTTGTCTTGACCCTGACCTAACACAAGCTTGCTGGATGCTCAGGCCCCTAGCACTCAAAACCTCGTTTACCCCCCTCCCTATAATTCTTGCTGGGATGATGCCTATCCTTCCTTGCATCCTAGATTATATACCCTCTTAGTCATTCTGTCCTGCTGCCTCCTCTTCAAAAGCTCAAACCACCTCAACAACCCCACATGATTTTCTAATCTCCACGTTCTTTTTTTTTTCTGCATCTTCACACTACACATCAGTCTCAAACAAGACATCTCCACTGCCTCCATCCTTCTCCTTACTGCTGCATTTAAAGTTCATGCCTCACACCCATACAAGTATTGGTAACACTATACACATTCCTCTTTTTGCCTCTATGGATAAAACTGTCTCAACAGATACCTCAACACACCACCCACTTTTCCTGTCTATTCTGCATTTCATCTCATCTTTCATAGAACAATCAGCAGACAAGCCCACTTCAAAATATCTAAATACATTTACTTCCTCCATACTCCCTCCCTCCAATCTGACATAAAATCTTTCATTGCCTAGATTCTGTTACTCTCATCACCTTGCTCTTTCCTGTATTCACTTTTAATTTCCTTCTTATTCATAACTGATATGTTAGGTTTATTAATCATTCTGGACTGCATGATAATGGACATATCAAGCACACACTATTTGGACACCCTTCTCTGAATTCACAACCTTTGTAATAGATAGTTTTCTAGTAGCGTCTAGCAGAAAAGGTGATCCCTAAATTTAAATATACCTCAACACATTTCCCCAGCTCCACCACTACTACTATTACTACTACTATCTGCTCACCCACTGCTACAACTGCTCTACTGTTACTACTATACTACTGCTGTACGACTACCTTTAAGAATGCTGCACTTTCTGACCTATGTTTATAAGCAGTGTCTATGCAAAAGCACAACTTATTCATTATTGCATTTTATATTTTTCCTTAATATGTTATACATTTTTCTACATTATCTTAACCTCTAACCTCATAGACCCTTTCTATCTCTATCATATGATTCTTTTATTTTTTTTTTTTACTTCATATTCTTCCTTTCTTGTTAAATATAGGAGTACCACACAATCATTCTCAGATGTACCTCAATGCTACATTTCTTTTTCTCTCCAAACAGCTGCTTTTTATCACTTAACTTTATATGTAATGCAATAATCGTGAAAAAGCAAGAAGGAAAATAACCACAAGGGGAGTTGAATGGTAGCTCTAGGCCTTTCATGTAGCAATTATCGCATCAGGAGCTTGCAGTGTTGCAGAAATTAGTAGAGGTCCAGGCAGATTTGTTCAGGAAAAGTGTTCCCTTGAATGTATCTACCTGGACTTCCTACTGATTTCTGCAACTGCTCCTGATGTGTTGATTGCAACATGCAAGACCTAGAGCTATCATTCAACTCTTCCTGTGCTTATTTTGCATTTATATGTAATTTTACTTGTATTTAATCAAAGGGAAGAACTAAACTCACAGTAGTCATAGTGCCTGAGATATGGGAGGCATTAAGAAACAATATAAAAAATGGGGATGAAGTCCAGTTACATACGTACTTTTTTTTTATTATACATTTGATGGTTCACTTCTCATTACCTATTCATTAATGCCATATTAAACCATTTTGCTATTGTTGTACATATATCATTTTCATCTCAAAATACTACTCTGTCCCTTTCATTTCCTATTTAAAGCAGTGTCTCACAAACCTCACAACTAGACTGGCACTTACTGTAGATAAAGAACTAAGGGCAGTGTCAAGTATTTCCGTTGACGCACTCTTTGGAGGTGGATTGGGGCAATTGCCAAACCCGGAGTATCGTCCTCCTTGAGAAGGTGGAAGGTGACTGTGGAGTAAAGTGATTTTCATTTAAAAATTTAGGCTTTGTATTATTTTCCACAATGCTTAATAATTTTTATTTACAATATACATGTATGTATCTTCTCTTCTTTCAGCAAACCAGACGTATCTCACAGAAGTAGGGTGGCCCAAAAAAAAAAACAAGTCTCTCTTTTTAACTTTAGTAATGTATACAGGAGAAGGGGTTACTAGCCCTTTGCTCCCGACATTTTAGTCACCTCTCACAACACGCATAGCTTATGGAGGAAGAATTCTGTTCCACTTCCCCATAGAGATAAGAGGAAAAACCTAGAACTAGTAAGAAAATAGAAGAAACCCCAAAGGGGGCAGTTGGAGGCAGTGGAGATGTCCTGTCTAAGGGTAATGTGTGGTGTAAATACAGTGGACCCCCGCTTAACGATCACCTCCCAATGTGACCAATTATGTAAGTGTATTTATGTAAGTGCGTTTGTACGTGTATGTTTGGGGGTCTGAAATGGACTAATCTACTTCACAATATTCCTTATGGGAGCAAATTCGGTCAGTACTGGCACCTGAACATACTTCTGGAATGAAAAAATATCGTTAACCGGGGGTCCACTGTATTATGCAGAGAATTCGGAGTGTGGAAATTAGGAGAAGGTGTGTTTAGCCATTTAGAGAATGAATCAAAGCAGGGGAAGGAAGGCGGGGTAGGGGTCATCCTTGATAAGGTTGGAGGGAGGGTTAAAGGAGGTTTTCTGGGCGAGGGGCTTGGACTTCCAGCAAACGTGCATGAGCATGTTTGACAGGAGTGAATGGAGACATAGTTTTTGGGACCTGACGAGCTATTGGGATTCAGGGAAACTGGTTACAGTGGACCCCCGCATAACGATTACCTCCGAATGCGACCAATTATGTAAGTGTATTTATGTAAGTGCGTTTGTATGTGTATGTTTGGGGGTCTGAAATGGACTAATCTACTTCACAATATTTCTTATGGGAACAAATTCGGTCAGTACTGGCACCTGAACATACTTCTGGAGTGAAAAAATATCGTTAACCGGGGGTCCACTGTATTTTATATAGCCGGACTTGAGTCCTGGAAATGGTAAGTACAATGCCTGCATTTTAAAGGTTGGGTTTGGGATTTCCTTTTTGGGGATTTTCTTTCTTTTTGGGTCACCCTGCCTCGGTGGGAGACGACCAACTTGTTGAAAAAAAAAAAAAAATATATATATATTTATTTTTCTCAACAAGTCGGCCGTCTCCCACCGAGGCAGGGTGACCCAAAAAAGAAAGAAAATCCCCAAAAAGAAAATACTTTCATCATCATTCAACACTTTCACCTCACTCACACATGTTTTTGCAGAGGTGCTCAGAACACAACAGTTTAGAAGCATATACGTTTAAGGATACACAACATATCCCCCCAAACTGCTAATATCCCAAAACCCCTCCTTTAGAGTGCAGGCATTGTACTTCCCATTTCCAGGACTCAAGTCCGGCTATATAAAAATAACCGGTTTCCCTGAATCCCTTCACTAAATATTACCCTGCTCACACTCCAACAGATTGTAAGGTCCCAAATACCATTTGTCTCCATTCACTCCTATCTAACACGCTCACGCACGCTTGCTGGAAGTCCAAACCCCTCGCCCACAACACCTCCTTTACCCCTTCCCTCCAACCTTTTCGAGGACGACCCCTACCCCGCCTTCCTTCCCTACAGATTTATACGCTCTCCATGTCATACTACTTTGATCCTCTCTCTTTAACCCTTTGAGGGTTTTCGTCGTACTAGTACGTCTTACGCGTAGGGGTTTTTGACGTACTAGTACTCATAAATTCTAGCGACCTCAAATCTAGTGGGAGAAAGCTGGTAGGCCTTCATATGAAAGAATGGGTCTATGTGGTCAGTGTGCACAGTCTAAAAAAAATCCTGCAGCACACGGTGCATAATGAGAAAAAAAAAACTTTTTCCATTTTTTTTTAATAAGTCAGCGACTTTGCAGTGTATTTTCGTATAGTATTTATTGTTGTATTCTAGTTTTCTTGGTCTCATTTTATAGAATGGAAGACATATTACTGAAATTGAGATGATTTTGACTGGTTTTACAATGAAAGGTGCCTTGAAATTGAGCTCAAAAGTAGCAGAAATGTTCGATTTTTACCAAACTTCAAAAGTAAACAAATCGTGCCAAGCGTGCAATACACGTCAACTGGTGAGTCTAAATATTCTTTCACAAGTGCACCAATAATATTTATACCATTTTTTACACTAATGCAGTAGTCTGCATAACAGTAAATCTTATATTTTTTGTGAGAATAAAAATTCAAAGTGGAAAGCAAAAGAATATAAGAGGGGCCTTGAGACGTGACTAATGACTAGAGGAAATGTCATTTTAGTGCCAGGAATGTCTTTCTTGTTTATTCTGGACCCTATTCCGAAATTGGCATCTTTTGAAATTTGTGTGAAATTGGCAAAATTGCTAAATTCTGACCACTGTACTGGATAGTTGAATTTATAAATGGGTGGTTTCTTGCACCCATTCGATAGAAAAAATGGAGTTCTAGCGAAATATTCATGTTTTTTGTCGACTAGTACAGTGAAATTGGCCGAAAATGGGGCTCAAAGTGGGCAAAATCGCCGATCCGTAAACATCGCCGAGACCGCTAACTTTGCGAGAGCATAATTCCGTAAGTTTTCTATCAAATTTCAAACTTTTGGTGTCGTTATGATCGGGAAAAGATTCTCTATCTTTTCATAAGAGAAAATAATTTTTTTTTTTTTTAAATTTGGCCGACCCTGAGAACGAGTTTCGGAGAGGGCCTGTCGACCCTCAAAGGGTTAAATGACCAAACCACCTCAACAAACCCTCTTCAGCCCTCTGACTAATACTTTTATTAACTCCACACCTCCAAATTTCCACACTCCGAATTTTCTGCATAATATTTACACCACACATTGCTCTTAGACAGGACATCTCCACTGCCTCCAACCGCCTCCTCGCTGCAACATTTACAACCCAAGCTTCACACCCATATAAGAGTGTTGGTACTACTATACTTTCATACATTCCCTTCTTTGCCTCCATAGATAACATTTTCTGCCTCCACACATACCTCAATGCACCACTCACCTTTTTTCCTTCATCAATTCTACGATTAACCTCATCCTTCATAAATCCATCCGCTGACACGTCAACTCCCAAATATCTGAAAACATTCACTTCTTCCATACTCCTCCCCAATTTGATATCCAATTTTTCTTTATCTAAATCATTTGATACTCTCATCACCTTACGCTTTTCTATGTTCACTTTCAACTTTCTACCTTTACACGCATTCCCAAATTCGTCCACTAACCTTTGCAATTTTTCTTTAGAATCTCCCATAAGCACAGTATCATTAGCAGAAAGTAATTGTGCCACTTTCTGTGTGTGTGTGTGTCCACACACACACACACACACACACACACACACACACAACGTGTAGTGGGACTTAAGTAGAACTAGCAAGATGTATCTGAAATCTTGCATGTTTATTAGACAGAAAAAAAGACACCAGTAATCCTACCATCATGTAAAACAACTACAGGCTTCCTTTTACACTCGCTTGGCAGGATGGTAGTACCTCTCTAGGCAGTTGCTGGCTACCAACCTACTACCTAGATATTTACAATACAGCCTCTCCTTACTTAGTGACGTATTCGTTTACCAATGCCTTGGATTTACGATGGGCTCTCTGACCAGTATTCACACCAAAATAATGTATATTAGAGCTGATTTCCTCTATTCTGTTTATTTCAATATACAGTACACTACTGTATAAACATTTGAAAATGTACCAGAAATGTTATAAATGGTGCAAAGGTGACATTAAAAAAATATCAAAGATGGCTGACACAAACTCACTACCATTATAGTATGCTCCTCACTTAGGGACAAATTTGATTAACAACGTGGTCTTAGGAATGGAACTCTGTCATTAAGTGAGGAGAGGCTGTATATGAAACTTAAAAATATACATTTTTCATTCAAAATTACATTAGACGGCCGATAAATTTTCAAGATTGGAAGAAATATTTATTCAAAACACTTTCCAAAGCAGTGTTCCTTGTCTGTACTGAAACTATTTTTGTTTAAGGAGTACAATACTGCATTAAGAACATTAAAATCACAGCAAATGCAAATCATTCACAATACGACAGATTAACATATAAAACATGCCAAAGACAATTTCTCACTAATAAAATCCTTGAGGTTACAATAATTTTTTAGGAAAATTAGAATAGGTGATGCAACTGTTAAAAGAAGTTTTTGATTAGCCAAATATGGTTAAATGTAATTAGGTTTTGAACACACAGAAGATTAACCAAAATGATTATCTTCAAAATGTGATTGCAAGGAACTTCTATTTTTTGGAAGCATTCAATTTAGCATCTAAAAATTAATATCAAAAGCTAAAAGAAAAAGTTTTATATTTATATATACAGCACCTGCAAAATATTTTTCGTGTTGCTACATATCATTCCCCAATGTACATGGCTTGCAACAGCAAAATACATAGTCAATTCCATTACTTACTAAGTACATAAACTAAGGTAAGCATTAATTTTTTAGATTAGCGTGAGATGAGCTGTTCTAATAAGAATTGTGAGAGGTACAATCAGTTAATGTTTTGAGTATTTTTTATATCACACGGACCGATTCCCACCAAGCAGGTTGGCCGAAAAAGAAACTTTCACCATGCATATCACTCCATCACTTCTTGCCAGAGGTGCATTTAACTAATTTTTAAACACAACATTAAACCAATCTAATGAGAATTATTCCCATCTCAGGACTCAAGCGCTGCCGGTTTTCCTGAATCCCTTCATAAAGTATACTTTGCTCACACCCAACAGCACTCTAGTATAAAAATCATTGTCTCCCATTACTTCCTATCAACACGCTCAAGCAGCCTGTGAAGTCCAAGCCTTGAGCAAAACCTCCTTTACCCCTTCCCTACCAACTTCTAGGCCACCCCTACCCTTTCATAGTACTCGATGTAAAATTTACACACCCATCATGAATAGATGAAGGAATATTTCTTTACAAAGCAGCCTCATGTCTATAAAACCAATCAGGCAATATCGTAAACCTAATCTTTTAATAAACTGAGGTTAAAAGAGTGCAGCCTTTGTACTAGTTTTACATATTTAATTCATACCTACTTAATTTAAATAAAATATGCCCGTGTTTTAGATGTGAAGAAAGTCACTGTATAACACCTTTGCAACTGCAAGAATTATGACCAGGATAAAATTTTTTTGGTAATGCTGCAAAGAATCCTCTACTATACAATTTCTAAACAAGCCTTAAAGTCATTCAATATAAAAAGCTGCTAAACATCTTAGATATCATTAACTGTTTTATGTTATTCACAGTGTATGCCTAACTAGATTTCTTTTAGCATGCTGGCTGTCTCCCACCAAGGTAGGGTGCCCCAAAAAAGGAACACTTTCACCATCATTCACACTATCACTGTCTTGCCAGAGGCATGCACATACGACAGTTTAGAGGTCACTCTAAACAACAAATATCCTAAACCCCTCTTTTACAGTCCAGGGACTGTACTTCCCACCTCCAGGACTCAAGTTCGGCTAACAACTTTCCCTGAATCCCTTCACAAAATAATACCCTGCTCACATTCCAATAGCTCGTCAAGTCCCAAAAACCCACTCTTCTCCACTTACCCCTATCTAACACACTCACACCTGCCTGAGTATGTCCAAGCCCCTTCCACACAAAACCTCCTTTACCCCTTCCCTCCATCCTTTCCTGGGATGACCCCAACCCTGCATTCCCTCCACTACAGATTTCTACACCTTCCAAATCATCCTATTGTGTTCCATCCTCTCTCAATAACCAAACCACCTCAACAATCCCTCCTCAGCCTCCTCCTAATTTTCACACTACAAATTCTCTATATAATATTTATGCCACACATTGCCCTTAGACATGACATCTCCACTGCCTCCAGCATCCTTCTCACTGCAACATTCACAACCCATGCTTCACACCCATACAAGAATGGTGGTACCACTATACTCTCATACATTCCCTTCTTTGCCTCCATAGACAACATTTTTTTTGCTCTCTACAGATACCTCAATGCACCACCCACCTTTTTTTCTTCATCAATTCTATGATTTACCTCATCCTTGGTATACCCATCTGCCAACACATCCACTCCCAAATACCTGAACATATTCACTTCTTCCATTCTTCCTCCATCCAATTCAATATCCAATTTTTCCTTACCTAACTCATTTGATACCCTCAGTACCTTACTTTTATCTATGTTCACTGTCAACTTCCTTACTAGGTTTTACTAGACATACAACGACTAGCAAGGCTTCTCTGGAAATATTTAATGCCGGGGAGTGCACTATCTCCAATTTTAACTTGTATTTTCAGACAGAAACTCAAACTGACCAAGTAGTTAACAGGACTATACATCCCTATCATCAAATTTTGTTCCACTCATTTAAAAATATATCTTACATTGGTTGCTGTGAAACCATTAGCCACTACATTCTTTTTTAAAGAGCAATATATCTTTTTATTTTTACTTTAGGTAACAGTGAAATATCACTTACTCTGGCCGAGAAGAATTTTCATCTTGTACTTTTGCAAAAAATGCTTCCGTTTGGCTTTTAATGCTGGGGTCTTGGTAACCACCCTGATATCCTCCTTGACAGTCATTATAACCACCACTATTGTAGCCATTATAACCATTGCCAGTGGAAGAGTACATGTTCTGCCCTGTAATATGCATGGTTGATATAGGGTTCTATTGTCAGCTAGGATAACAAATGACACTGTTTAGTTTTGTGTGCCATTTCTTGCAGGATGAAATACAATGATAAAATTACATAAAAACAAATCACTTTGGCACAGATTGCACTAAGATTAAAAAGAAGATAAGGTTTACCATTAAGTGAAAGAAATACCAAAATACAATACAGCAAGTAGCCGGGATGATGTCCTCTAATATTTTAATATACACTACTGCAATTTATGATCCCTTGAGCTAATGAAAAGTGACATTCACACCTGTTGCTAATAAAAATCTATATAGATTATATACTCCAACTAGAGGACCATCACACAAGATTGTACAATGCATAGGTATTGAAGCAGATACACACACTACAATACATCAACAAATTTACAGAAACTTAAAAGGATTAAGAGAATTATAGCTTACCCTAAAACTTTACAAATGTACAAATGTATAAAGAGGATCAAAGCTTAATTGAAAAATAAAAGTAAGATACTTGGAGCAATGCACAATATTAGTTAAGCTTGAGGGTCCTACCAGATGTCTTGAAGGATGTGGTTGAAGAAGACTTGGGAATTGATGTAGAGTGGTAATTCTGTGCAGATGAAGTTTCTATGCTCCAAGGTTTGCCTTGCGAGAGTGCTGCAACCTGTGGTTGATATATATTACACAGTAAATTACAGGATAGACTTTTAAAGAAATTCTGTACATAGTAAAAAAAAAAAAAATGCTAAAAAGCCCATCATATTTTACAAAAATTACAATTTTTCCAGCAACATGTATAAAAATGTTTCAACTGCAAGTTTTACAAAGCCCCCCTAAATCTCATATTTTGATAAAACATGCTTCCAATTTTTGCACTTACCATGATAAGACACTTTCAAATTCTTTTCAAGTATGCAGTGACTTGGCCAATTCCAAGGAAGAATCCTGACCCTTATTTATCACCTAATTGTAAAGGCCTAAATCTTGTAAAAAGTTCAAATCTGCTCTATGATTATAGTCTACAATTTTTTTTTCAAAAATTCTAAAAACATTCCAATTCTTACATTTTTATTTAGGCCAAGATTATTTACAAAAGACACATACCGTTAATACAGTGTCTGGAATTATTCTCTCCCAGACTTAAGGATGATATTGCTAGTTTTGATCTCCAAGAGGTTTTGCTGCAAAGTTTACTGCTTATATAATACAGAACTTTCTCCTCCTAGATTTTCTTTGTCTATAAACTCAAGTCTAGTTTCCTTTCCAACTGACCTCACACCAGAACATTGCTTAATTACGGTTTCATTTCATCCTTCAGTTTGGTAGAAACCATCTTATCCTCAATTCAGTAAAAGCACAAATTCAAACATGACATAAGAAAACTTATGTATGTATGTATGTATAAGTAACATTCTAATAACAACAGTTTTCTTGAGCTTCTATCACTGATAAGTATTTTACAGTTCTAAGTGTAATATCTGAACTTGTAGAAAAACTCATTTCTTTCATTTTGTACACTGACTCAAACTTAACATGCTCACATATTCATCCTCTGACCTTTGTCACGTACACTATCCAATTCTTTCTCAGGCTCTGACCGTTTTCCACCTACCACCTTCCATTTCATTCCAGATTTCCACATTATTACTAACTTACTGTACTTTGCTCTATGCTTTTTATAATACCAAATCATCTTGACAACCACTCTTTGAATTATACCTCTTATACATGTGCTACCACACACTATCTTAATCTCAGACAAGACAAATCTACTGCCAACCTTCTTGTTGCAACATTTGAAGACCTTGTTCCATACCCGTAAAAGTCTGAACTACTGTGTTATATTCCCATTTCTGCATCCATTGACAAATTACTTTCTTTATGTAAGCTTCGATATTCTTGCAAACTTCTTTCCGTCCACTATTCTGCTATTTATTTCACCCTTCACAACTATATGCTGTTGTATCTACTTTTATATAATGTATATTCACTTCTTATAATCTAAAGTAATTCCAACCATTCTTACCTATTCTTCTTTCACCATACATCTACTTATTCTCATCACCTTATTCTTTTTTTATGTTCACTTATATGCACACTTTCAAACTTCCCTACCATGGGTGAACTGGACAAAAACAAAAAACACTATAAAATTACTATGCATACCCCTCAACCCCTTCAATGCAGAGTGCCATCCTTTGAAAACAGTGTTCAATTATTTTTAAAATGTTATAGATACTGGCAAATTGGAGTCATATTGTAACACCTCTTTTAATCATTGAGACGAACAGATTTAAGTGAAAGTTATTAAAAGTAAAAACATGATGGTAACAGATTGAATAGCAAGAAAGGAGACCTACAAGAACCTGTGAAAACTTCTTTCCCAAGGTTGCTGAATGATAGGTACTACTGACAAGTATAACTGACAGATAATGTAGAGCAAGGCTGTATTATTGATGATTTTTTGCTCTTCGTAAAGCAAAACAGTCATCTCTCTGCAGAGAGCTTAAACCCTTTCAGGGTCCAGAGGCCAAATTTTAAAGTGCGCACCAGGGTCCAAGAATTTAAAAAAAAAAAAATTATTTTTTCTTACGAAATGGTAGAGAATCTTTTTCTGAAGGTAATAAAACAAAAAGTACGAAATTTGATGGAAAATTGACGAAATTATGCTCTCGCGAATTTTGATGTGTCAGCGATATTTATGAATCGGCGATTTTGCTGACTTTGACTCCCATTTTAGGCCAATTACATTAATCCAGTCGACCAAATTCTTAGCTATTTCACTAGTATTACTTCTATTCTATCAATTGAGCACAAGAAATCGCCATGTCAACTGTTTCAACTACAAAATAAAGTGATTGGAAATTGGTAATTTGGCCAATTTAACACAAAGTTCAAAATATTCCAATTTCAAAATAGGGTCCAGAATAAACAATGTAGGTATTCCTGACACTAAACTAACATTTCCTCTGTTCATTAGTTACATTTTGAGGCTTTACAAATGAATTCCATTTTGATTTTTTATTCACATAATGAATTTTTATTCAAACAAAAAAATAGAAGATTTACTGTTATGCAATATTGTAATAATTGTATAAATATCATCACCACATTTGTGAATGTATATTAGGCCCACCAGCTGGCATGTATTAGATGTGTGAGGTCGTTTGTTTACTCTTGAACATTGGCAAAAATTTAACATTTCCTCTACTTTGTGCTCAGTTTTAAGCGATTTCCAGTAATAAAACCAATCAAAATCATCTCTATTCTGTAATATGTCTTCCATTCTATCAAATGAGACCAAGAAATCACAAATACAACTATAAAAAACATACGAAAAAACACTGCAAAGTTGCTGTTTTAATCGAAAATCACGGTCTCAGTTTTTTTTCTCTCATTATACAATGTGTGCTGCAGGATTTGTTTTATGTGGTGCACACATACTACATAGATGTATTCTCTCATATCTAGGCCCAAATTTACCACTCACAGCTTATCAGAGTGAGCTGAGCTCATGGCAAAGATCTACGGTTTGGACCCTGAACGTAAAGTCATAGATCTATGGCACGGACCCTGAAAGGGTTAAGTCATGACTACTAAAGCTCTCTTCAAAATGAAACCTCTGCTATAGTGAATGTTTTCTCTACACTAAGTAGCTTTCTATTCACCAAGACTATCAGCTCACCTTATCCCTGTAGAGGGCTGCAGCTCTGGTATTGTACTTCTGCTGCAAGGATGCATGATGGTCATAATCTTTTGACTCTCTAAGAACTCTCTGGCTCTTTTATTCCCACCAACCTGTAAAAAAGTGTCTTTACACTAGAATAATGATAAACAAGGTAAGATTCTCTTATGCAACAAAGCCAGAAAACTACTTTTACAGAAATACTAGGAACATTAACGGAGTAATCATATTTAATGGGTATGCCTCGAATCATGACTGTCTTAAAAATTTACTAATTGGTTTCACCAAATAAGTTACACTATTTAAAGGGAAAGTGGGTGCCCATACCAATAAAAGTTTATTCCAATCAGTGATTTGTTATACATAGTTCTTTTTTTTTTATAAAATCTCATAGTGCCATTACCCATGTTCATTTTGATATGAAATGAACACAGTTACAATACAGGTATTTATGATATGGTTACAAGTATCCAAGACCAAACATAACATGATTATTGTGGCTCCCATAATTTCATACTTTAAGTGTAGTGTGCACATGCTCTTAAGAAAATTTAATTTCTTTAAAAATAAGAATACAAAATGAAACAATGTTTAGCCATTATATCAGGTGAGGAGACTAATAGCTTTTATTTTTTATCAAATAACATAAAATTCTAACCTCAATTTAAAAAAAATAATTGTGCTTTGCATTACAGCACTTGCTAGCTTATAACATTTACTTTTGTGATCCACTAGTGTACTATAAAGTTATAACATACAATGATAATGGTAACATGAGGATGCTCAGTCATCTCATGTCTAACCAAATTACTACAATAATTCCCCAAGGGCTTTATGGTAAGTCACAAACAAAAATCTGCTGACATTTTCCAAACTTAGAGGGTTATGAAGTAATTCTGAATATAAAATTATTGTGAGTTCTAAGTAACAATTTTGAGAATACAGTTTCCATCTTTTTCAAAATGCTCCATAGTAGCTTTGTAAATCTTGCACATTTTGGTCTGTGACAAATACACAATTTGTACATCAAAAGATAAAATATACTGTATACATACTGTATAATGTATACAGTGGAACCTCAAAAATCGAACTTAATCTGTTCCAGGAGCTAGTTCTAAATTCGAAAAATCTGAAATTCGAAGCAATATTTCCCATAAGAAATAATGGAAACACAATTAATCCGTTCCAGAAACCCAAAAATATTCACATAAAAACTACATTTTATAGATATTAATTACAGTTTTACATACAACAAATACTATAGTTTTTAATTATGTACATATAGCAATACATATAAAATAACATTTTTACTTACCTTTATTGAAGATTGGTGATGGCATCTGGAAGATAGGGAGGAAGAGAGAGGGAGTTGGGGTTAGTGTTTGGAAGGAGAATTCCCCTCCATGAGGACTTCAGGTAAAGCCCTCTCTGGGGTTACTTCCCTTCTCTGTCTTTTAATGCCACTAGGACCAGCTTGAGAGTCACTGGACCCCTGTCTCACAAAATAACTGTCCACAGTCCTCTGTTTCTGGTGCCTCTAACATTTCCCTAAAATGGGACATGGCTCTGTCACTGAACTTGTTGCAAAGATGGCTTGTTTCAGCTTGTTCAGGGTGGTACTTCTGCACAAACATTTGGACATCATTCCACTTGGCACAAATCTCCTTAATCTCTGAAGAAGGCACCTCATCCACTCCCTATATTAACACCTTTCGCAACATCAGCTTCCTTGATTTGTTCTTTCTTTGACAGGATAGAACCGATGGTCGACTTGTTTTTCCCATACATCATGGCAAGCTCAACAAGTCTCACACCACTCTCATACTTCTGTATTATTTCCTTCTTCTCATCTATGGTGTTTCTCACTTTCTTTACCACAGGGGTACCACTGGCAAGTTTCTTTGGGCCCATGGCAGCTTATTTCACAGTCCCAAAAGCACTAAACACAACGAAATAATCGTAAAATGCATGAATGAGAGTGCAGGTTAGTGTTCCCTCAAGCATAAACAAAGCTAGACTGCTCATGGCAGTCCGAAAATAGGGGCGCATTTGATAATAGGGACACAAGTTTGTCTGAAAAAATGGTCCTATTTTCGAAACGTTCGATATGTGATACGTTCAATTTTTGAGGTTCCACTGTATAGCAATAATTGATAACTAAAATGATAACATAATTTTCTTAACTTTTCTATAGCAAATACAGTACTACTGCACTGTATCTAGAAATGCAATCCTTAATCAAAATTCAACACTCATTTCAAGGCTAGTTCACAAAGCATTTGAATAGAGCAGCAGTAAATGTACTTCAACTAGCCTATCATATGTACTTTACTCACCTTCATCTTTTCCAGTTCATTGTCCTTCCACTTGTCCATGGTGACTGAACGAACAAATGATAAGTGTACGCCAAGACCACGGTGCTTTCCTGAGCACTCAAGACATATCCAAATTCCATAAGACACCGATGCCCACTGGGGGTTGGGGGCCCCACACTCAAAACATTGCTGTTATGAAGAAAAAACATAACAGAGCTTACATTAATTGTGCTAATGTACCCAAAGAGCACATTTAATTTTTATATACAGTAAATATGAAAAAGCAAAGAATCTCCAAATCACTGATTTCATATCTACACTGCATTGTACATAAAAATTACAGCGACAGATGGTGTACGTGAGCAAATATACCCACCAATTTGCATTTGCGGGTGAATAGTCTTAGCTCCTGGAGTTGCTTATATGATTTTTACCTAACTGTAGCCACAGTATATGGACAAAGCAATGCTCATGTGCCCCTTCTTTAATATTTAAATTTATCATATGCAGTAATATTTTTTATTTCCAGTAGCCATGGAACATACTACTGTACCATCTTTTTTAAGCCACCCCCTTTCTTTTACTACTTTTTCAATTTATAACCATGGCCTCTTATTTTCCCTGTTGATGGTGTTTAAAGAAATCTTCCATATCTACTCTTATTATCAATCTTTATATTCAATATACTGCATATTTTAAATATGGTTATTTTTAGCCTTTCTCTATAACTTATATTTTTAAGCTCTGAAAGCTATTTTGTAGCTCAGCTTTAGACTATTCCTACCTAGTCTTTTATTTTTTTAAGGTATGGACATATCACCTCTCCATAGTTTTTTTTCAATACTGATGTCCTTCATGAACCCTATGTTATGAATAACTTTAGGATTTACCCATCAACATATTATCTAAAGTCTATTTCAAAATTTAAAAGTGTACAGTAACCTGCTTTTGTTACTGATATCTCTTAAGTTACTCTCTTTGCCTGACACTTAAAAATACTGCAACTGCATTTTATTGCACAATCCTACTTTTCATGTGGTCTATTCTATTACAATACACACATCCACACATTCCATCATCCACTTTTCACAATTTTCTCTAATCTATGTCATGCAGGGATTTACCAGCAAGACATTTTTGTTTCTTATTTTTCACAGAATGTTTGCATATCTGCAAATATGTTCATATACTCTAGTTTGATAATCCTTCTGGCAGGTTATTTAAGCAAACTAAAAACTTTAAATTAAAAGCCCATTATGACCCCCTTTCTGCAACACTAAGGGGGCATTCACCCCTTTACCCTGTTTGCATTTTCCTTTCACACAGAAAGCCTCTCATTCACAAAGTTTGCCTTTTATTGTTCTTATGTTTTGCATTTGTTTGCATAGCAGAAAAAGCAGCCTCTTTTTTTTCCCAAGATGACTTCCACCAAATTGTAAAAGGGCCCCCCGTGAACATGAGGAATTCAGAGACCCTACTAACCGCACTAAAAATGCAAAGAGGTGCCAGTCTGCCATACCAGCTTTGACAGAGTTGCCAACTCTGAAGAAATACATTAGTCCATTTTTCAAGCAAACAAAAAAAATACAGACATGAAAATTTCAAAACAGACTGTGTAGTCAAGAGGTGCCAACAGGGTTGGAGGGCATCAAAATCCCCCCACTGATTATCATCTTTTTTAATTTTAACTCCATTTAAAAAATTCTTTTTGGCCTGTCAGCAAGTCAGGTGTTGATCACAATCATCTAGTATGTAAGTAATATACCTTAATTTTCTCTCAAATTTCATATAGTCAAAATAATAAAAAATATAGATTTTGCTCAGGATTCATAAAATTATAAAATGGAATAAAAATACATATTTATTTTTTACAAAGTTACAAGTTAAAAACCCAAATCTTTGTAATTTTTTTAAAAAAACAGTCTTCGTAAAACACATCTGTCATAAAAAAAAAAAGAACTGAAAAAATCCACGAAAAATATTTATCCTAGAATTCACTAATTTAGGTTCATCTTACTGGCCCACATCACTTCAGTCCCATGACCCCCTCATTATGCCAGGGCTTTAAAAACTATTTTTTTTTAAATTGTATTCGCAGAGAAACACTAAACCCAGAGACCATACAATCCGGGGTAAGGAAAGTGTTTAGGAAATTTCAAGTATGCCAACAAAAATTCATATCTATCCCCCAACTAACCCAAAGATCTCTTTGTAATTAAAATAGCTGAAAAATAAACAGAAAACTTGCTAATTTGATGTTATTAATGTATAAAAGCAGCTTATGTCTACCCCCCACCATTGCAACATTCTCAACAAATTAAAAACCAAAACTTTTCCAACCATACTTAAGATCCCAAAGGGTTCCCCAAAATACATAAAAAGACTCGCCTGTGTCAGCAATTACAGGCAAAAATAACTTGCAATTGAATTTAAATTTTTGAAAAACAAAATTCTAAATAATTTGTTCTTTTTTTAGTGTTCCACAACAACTTACCTCCGACCCCTTTGGGTTTCGGCCAGGAAAAAGGAAAAAAAAATGATGAAAAAGATGCTTAACTAATTTTTATTCATTTTAAAAAAAAAAATACCCAAAACCTCTCAGAGACCTAAAAAAAGCTTTCTATATTAAACCACACCTGTTCTAAAATTAGGAATTATTTTAAAAACCCACAACGCAGACACAAACTTTCCCTCCACCACTAACAACCTCGTCAACTTGACCTATTAACACAAGAGATGCATCAGGGAAGTGCCCTTGCCCCTCTGCTTTTACAACTACATCAATGACCTTCCAGCATTTCAGGTGTTTAAACCTGTTTTGTTTGCAGAAACTTTTGACTCTCCCATTCAACCTTTTCTCTTTTCTCTTCCCTTCAGCATTTGGGACGTACTATTTCAGCTTAGGCACCAGTTTTTGACGTACTAGTACGCCTAAATTCAGCCCCTCAAATCTGTGAAAAAAAATGGTGGGCCCTACAATAAAAAATGGCCCTATGGGGTCATGTGCGCATTTAAAAAAAAAAAATCCTGCAGCACACAGTGCGTAACAGAAAATAAAAACTGACCATTTTTTTGGATTAAAACACGATTTTGCCTGATTTTGTAGGTATTTTTTGTTGTATCTAGTTTTCCGGCCTCATTTTTAAATGGAAGACATATTACAAAAATTGAGATGATATGATTTGGTTTTACAATGAAAAGTCCCTTTGAAATTGAGCTCAAAGAGCAGAAATGTCGATTTTTCCCAAAAGTTCAAAAAAACAAATCATGCTACGCATCCAATACCGTAAATGGCACTAATATTCTTTCACAAGTGCGCATATTTTTTTATACCATTTCAACACAATGCAGTATTGCATAACAGTAATTTTTTCTATTTTTTGTGAAATAAAATTTCAAAGGGGAAAAGCAAAAAATTAAGGGGGATGGGGACATGAAAAATAAACAAGAAATGTTATTTAGTGCCAAATTTCCCTTTCTTGTTTTTTTCTGAACCCTATTGGAAATTGGCATTTTTTTGAAATTTTGTGAAATTGGCAAAATTGCTAAATTTGACACTTTTTTGGATTTTGAAATCGGAAAATGGGGGGTTTCTTGTACTCATTCGATAGAAAAATGGAGTTCTGCGAAATAGTTATGATTTTTGTTGACTAGACACTGGAATTGGCCAAAATAGGGCCAAAGTGGGAAAAAAAAATGCCGATGCAAAAACATGGGGAAAAGATTCTCTATCTTTTCATAAAAAAACAAATTTTTTCTTTGTTTTTTTTTTTTTAATTGGCAAACCCTGAGAACAAGTCTCGAGAGGGCCTGGCGACCCTGAAAAGTTAAGGGGTGGCTCCCCGGAGACCACCAATAACTTACCATAATAATGACATGACATTCACAAGACATTTGAAAACAGCTATAATGAAAACCGATAAAAAAAAAAATTATTCACTTACTGAAAAAAAAATGAAGGGAAAATTTTTTTAAGGGAATACCTTGACTGCAAGTTAAAATTCAACACTCACATCACACATAACCAAGCGGGTCCTAAAACATGGCATCCTCTGTAGATATTTTAAAAAAGTTCCTGAAACAACTTTAATTTTCCTGACTATTCCTAACCATTCTTCCTGCACCTAGGGTATTTGTACCTGGGACAAACCCACAGAAAACCACCAAATTGCTGTTGAAAAATCTCTCAATGATAGACAACACACCCCCCCCTTTTAAAAAATTTAAAACTTCTCAGCAACAAAAATTCATTTTTAAACTACGGCACATCTATAGTACAAGAAAATAAATACAAATAAAACCTTAACCTGAAACCTTCCGGATAGCTGCAACAGAACTCAAGCCAAAATGAAAAATATAAAACTTTTGAATTCCCATGTATACTCACCCATGTAAAACTCAATGATCATAAAAGGCCTCAAATTTTAACTTTCTGGCCCTATTCCAAGTTTCCCCTTGCCATCACATCAAAGCTACGTTAAAAAGCATCTCCTTTTTTTTTAGTCTATAACAACATTTGTCGAGTATTTATCCATTATTATCCCACATATTCCTTGTTTTAATTCCCCTTTATTCAGACATAACTGTTGCATTGAAAATTTTACAGAGAAAAATTATTGTGTTTAAATTATATCCATGTTGGCTGAAATAACCTTCAGATAACTTACAGTAAATTTAATTATACAAATACAAGTAGTCACAAACCTTTATTTCAAAATTACAGTACAAAACATAAAATGATTTGAAGGCACATGTCATTCTGGTATTCATGGGGAGCGCTAAACCCGTAAGATTATACAATACCTGTGGAGGAAGATGGAAGGCATTCAGGCTTAGTTCAGGGAACTGGAGCACAGATCCAATTCCCTAGATCAAAACCCCTCACCACACCCAAAAACCCCCCTTTGGGGGGTTTCAAGTTCATTAATTTGTTCCCTTCTCTTTATAACAAACAATTTTTTTTTTATTTTATGAATTATTTTTTCACTTTGAAAAACTTTGTAAAAAAACCCCTTTAACAATAAAAACTAAAACTTGGGCTTGATACTACTTTAAGTTTTTTTCCCAAAAAGCATGCATTCCATTGCATTCTGATTATTTCATATTTTTTTATATGCAAAGATATGAAATAAAAAATACAATTTTTTTTGCTTTTAAAAGCCCTTTATTTTAAATTATTTAAGCACATG